GGCAAATATTATACTATTCATCCATATCCTAGATGTTCCATGACACCAGATGACATTTCACTTCCGCCATAGCAATGCTCATATGACGACGACTATGTCACCAACAACTGACTCAGTCATGATGCAGCTACTGGAGAATGCCAATCACGAAACTATTCATCTATCTCCTTGATGTTCCATGGCACGTGATGACATTTCACTTTCGTCACAGTAATGCTCATCTGACGACGACGAGGTGACCAACAACTGACTCAGTCATGATGCAGCTACTGAGAAATGGCAAATATTATACTATTCATCCATATCCTAGATGTTCCATGACACCAGATGACATTTCACTTCCGCCATAGCAATGCTCATATGACGACGACAATGTCACCAACAACTGACTCAGTCATGATGCAGCTACTGAAGAATGCCAATCACGAAACTATTCATCCATCTCCTAGATGTTCCACGGCACCAGAAGACATTTCACTTTCGTCACAGCAATGCTCGTAAACACACAGCTTTGTGTCGTCACAGCTTTTCGTAAATATGGTGAATGGTTTTCGTGAATCAGGTTATCGATTTGTGAGGATAACGTATCATTTCTGTCAGCTAGTGTTGCTGCCTGGTACACTATATCTATTACCTTATTTATGACATCTAGGTATGTTCCAACTGAAAATGGTGTGACGGTAAGTCAAAAAGAAATTGTTCTTATCACAATAACAAAAGTGAAAGATAGTTTTCATTTGTTACTATTCGTTTTAGAGACGAACAAAACCGGATATTTTATGAATAATCTTCGAACAAGAAGAGATGAAGGTCTGTGAGCTCCACTGACCGACAGCCCAGACTTGATCGAGTATTCTTATTGAGACTGAACATGCACACACACTCGCAAAATCCAAGCAGAACGACTCTTGTTTGTAACTGTATCAGTTACCAAAGCAATCTGAATGACATTACTATTCTCTATGTACACTGGAAAAATATATCTAGAGTATCAGACATGAATCCAATGAGCTGGTTCCTGAATACTGATGAAGGATTAGAACAGGAACCAGTTCATTGAATTCATGTCTGATACTCTAGATATATTTTTCCAGTGTACATAGAGAATAGTAATGTCATTCAGGTTGCTTTGGTAACTTATACAGGTACAAACAGAAGTCTGACTACATGCATTACGTGTGTCTTTCTTACTTACTATTTATACTAGCAATTTTCGCTTGTTGAACAGTCAAAATTATGCCATGGGTCCATTCCTCTTTCTTTTTGCTGTTCTATACAAATAAAGCTTATACTAAACAAAAGTCGTTCTGCTCGGATTTTGCGAGTGCGTGTGCATGTTGAGTATGTATGTATTGAACACTGCCAATCTACCTATTTGATGTGCACATGAACATTATTTGTGCTACTGACTGCTCAAGAAAATAACGAGTATTCTTAAATACTTTGTACTTACATATTTTGAAAAGTAAAATTTTTGCTCTTCGGCTTGGTCAGGTAACTCTGCTACTGCAGTGTTCTTTCGCAACGGTATTCCTGCATTTTGTAGTTTTCGAACGAAAGCAGGTCCAGAGCTGTGCAACATCTTAAACTGAAGCGAGAAGTATCTTGAACATATTGAGATGTTTTCACACTCTACGTGAACAACGAATGGATGAAGCAATTAAATTCGTTACGGATATGAAAGAAAAAAATTCAAATTTACCGATAATACATTTGAATGAAACAATAAAATTAATTAGTAATAAATTACAAATACCCGAATGGAAATTAAATGCAAAGGAATTAAATAATCCAAAAGAAATGCTGAATAATACAGTAAATGAATTAAATACAATGAAACAACTTGATATATGTTTCGTACACATCATATGTTTTGTACACGTACGGAAAATTTCAAAAACGCCTTTTTTCCGTGGGCTCTGAGACAACGGAATGCGTTATCAATCGATCTACATGATATGACATCTTTAATAAAATTTCGAACTAAAATTTCATAATTTTTTCTCTTCTGATTTCAGATGGCCAAGATTCAAGCTCAATGAGCATAAATATGATTGTTTACTAAATCAAACGAGAGTTAATTTTCTGTATTGAATTTCGATCTACTTCAGAAAAAATTGAGTTCTAGTCGGCTCTGTGCTTGTGAGAAAGTAGAAACTGTCAAACATTTTCTGTTGGAGTGCTTTCGTTACCAGCCTCAACGTGATATACTTTTCTCTCACTAGTCATCGCTGGCTCCTTCTCTCTTCTGTACACTTGCAAACTTACTTTTTTTAGAGCAATTTTATACCCTAGATTATTCACAGATTTCACAACTTCGTTTATTTGTTATTAACTACCTCAAAAACACCAAACGTTTTTAAACTAAAATTTCTATCCCCTTTTTTTCGTTTTATCCAGCTCCTTTGTTCTTTTATTTTACATCGTTGTTATTTATATATTTCTCCTTTTCCTCTGTGTGTGTGTATGTTTTCTGTTTGTGAATGTTCTTTTATTGTTATTCTCTGACTACATGCGTTAGTGTGTCTGTCTTACTTATTTTTAGAGCATTTGACGACGCATCTTTTGGAAAAACGATCAGGTCTAAGGATTGAAAGGAAAAAATATTCTAAGCAAAATATGAGGAGGGCCATTTATTCTGGGGCACCCGGTATTACAAGAATTAAATATTTGAAGTTACAGTATAATTACAATCAAAAGACAAAACTTACGGGAAACCGTTTTTCTGCAACTTGTCCCGACCCCGTAAGCCCGAGCCCGCAAATTCTTTTTGTTCCAACCCCGTCTCTCCCACGGGACAGGACAGACAACATGGGATTCGGGCTGCCCCGCAGGAGTCTACCCCTGGCATCAATTGGCATTCTATGAATTCGAAAAAATAGCGGCGAAATGAGGTGCCAGCTATGTGAATCGATGCGGAAAGACCATTCTCAGTTTTCTTATCCTAAGAAACATGTTTTTCGTCCATCACATCAACTCGTACTTTACGGATTCGAAAAATAACGGCGTGTGGAGTTGACAACTATGCATATCGTTGCGAAGCAAAGTATCTTACTTTTCCTAACGTCGCAGAAATGTCTCTTGTTCTTAACATCAATTCGTATACTACAAATTCGTAAAAATAACGGCGAATTGAGGTGAGAACTACTCGAATCGCCGCGAAGAGAAGAATTTACTTTTAACTTCATAGAAACGTTTCGCGTCTTTGCCATTAATTCGAATTTGACGAATTCGAGCAGTCAACAGCAGTTTCCGTGGTGAAAATCGATTTGTATAAAGGTATATGTAAGCTTTAGAGCTTTCTAATTGCTAGATAAAATACGCTAATTTTCGCAGACATTTGTTGCCTAATACCACGTGGACAATTCTTCTGCTCTAGCACTTCGTACTATAAATTTTCCTTCTTGGATACTGCCTACTTCTTCCTGCGAGACATCTTCCTTCATCAAACATCAAATAGGCTCACGGAAGCTAATATTTATGAAATCAAAAAAAATATACATGTAGTTTTGAAACAATTTTTGTGCGATAATAATCATAGTACGACTTTTCAACAAAGAAAATTGTTCGTCAGGATAGAATTTTCCCAAAAACGGTATTTACTACTGGATAGCAAAAGATCTAGTAATGCTTTTTGTTTCGAAATGTTTGGCGAGTTACGGGATAACACTCTAGTTAGAGCGAGAGAGTTATCATGTATTCAACTGGCACTTCTCCTCTATTCAAAATTCTCTGAGAAATTACAGAAGCTCAAAAGAGCCTAGCTTTAATTTGAATAAGCATTTTGAAATTTCGGGTTGATAAATATTCGTCCACCATTTCTTCGAATGCATTCATGAAATGGTACATGTTCACAAATAGAGTCTTGATATTCATATCCTGAATATATACATCCATTTAAATATCGTGTATTATACACCGCAAAACCGCCGAAAGCAGATTGAACTTCAATTAGTTTGTGATCACGTGGTATCGTATGTTTATGAGCTAGAACAAATCTTTCAACTAAAGACTTTTGGCAATAGCCTAGCTTATCTCGATATATCCTACCATTTTCCAACAATCATAATTAACTACTTTTTTTGTTCGCAGTGCCCAGATATCATAATAACCCATCACTTGTGAAGCAGTCATAACATCCCAATCTGAGAGATCGTATTCAAAGTTAGTCAGAAAGTTTTGTAATGTGAGAATATTGTTAGCATTAACATCAACATCTAACACTAAATAATATGCTGCTTTAGCTAACCAACCATTTTTTCGTGCTGTTTCTAGTAGATGATTTCTACAATAGGCAATACGTACTGCTCTATCACTGATATACTTTAACATGTTTCCGTATGCTTCTACTATGATATGTTCCGCATCATTAGCTGCCCATTTCTGTAGAGAAGTCAATGTTTCATCTGAGGAGTCTGATTCGCCAAAAAGTATTCGGTAGTCTTTGAATACGGATACAATCTGTTTAATGTTTTGTTGAAATAATGGTATATGCTGTTCAACATTACGAGCACAAACTGTAACGACGACGAAGCACTCCCGCAGTCGTGCCAGTGAGATATTCTGTTGTTTTGGTAGTGATTCATTTTGGTTTTCTTCATCAATAAATGAATTATTTCTTGATATAAATGTTGTAGAAGTGAAATCTTTACATCGTAAAAACGTAAAAGCAGTAGTCCATAACACCACACACAAATTAATAGCTAACAAAATGAAAAATATGACAAATCTCTTCTGATTCATTATGCATTCGAATGCATATCGAATTTTCGCCAAGGAGAAATCCATACCATAGCTTCGAATAAAAAGAAAAATGTTTGAACATCCGACAAAATGTGAAATGGAAACATGCACTATTAGCAGGAATAATTAATAATAAAATTAATGGCAAATCTGATATAAAGAATAAACAGTACCCTATTCGAAGGCAGCGATTTTCGTATCAGACCAAAGCAATATAACATACTATGCATATTGACATTGTTTCACGTAAGATATATTTGCTTTATTTTTATGGTCATTTGACAGGAAAAAGAAGTAAAGAAAAACAGGTACATTATACACGTCAAGATTAAAAGACGGTGAAGGATAAAACGAGTTTGGAGTTTTCTTCAGAAATACGTTGTTTCAGAGGCATGTCCTATTTTCCATGTGACGGAAATGTGGTGTACACTGATCGAAGGAAGTTTTGGATCAATGCTCTAATGAACGGTTCTTATCAGATATCTAACACTATCATCATGTTTATCAAGTATGAGAGCCACTATCGCTTCACATCGTTCAAATAAAATTTCAGAGCGGTAAAAGGCAAAACATTTATCAAATACCTCCTCACTGGATAAACCACCAAATGTTTCTCGAACGAGGTCAGTTAAAGGCGTATTTTCTTCCACGAACACCAAAAGATAGGAATGAACTCCCTTCTGACTTAGTATGTCAGTCTTCTTTATTCACATTTAAAAGTACGTTGAGAGATCATGCAGGCTTTCAATAATTTCACATATAACTGCAAAAAGATTATCGCGATAACAGCCGTTTTGAACATGATATTTTTATTTCAATATTAACGTCAACGTTTCGCCGTTTCAAACAGCATTTTCCAGACATAGTATGAAAATTAGTCTAATAAGACTGTTTTATAGAATAAAAATGGATCATTAATCGAAGTTATCCTTACAGCCTTATCACTGAAATGTTTCAGTTGAAAGTATGCTGCTGCATTAATATTCTATAAAAGAGTCTTATTAGACTCATTTTCAAGACATAGTATGAAAACAAGTACTGGCCTGAAAATGCTGTTTGAAACAGCAAAACGCTCGCGTTAATATCGAAATAAAAATATCGTATTTAAAGCTGCTGTTGTCGCAATAATCTTCTTGTTCAGATTATTACCCATTACGAAATTGAGTTTAGCAACAAACGTAAGGCAAATTTAATTTCCTAGATTTTATCTGCTGGGTGCATCTTTATACAAATCGATCTTCACGATGGAAACTGCTGTTGACTGCTCAGTGCAAATCAAACTGCTTTTCATCGTGAAGATCGGTTTGTATAAAGGTGCGCCCAGCAGATAAAATCTAGGAAATTAAATTTGCCATACGTTTGTTGCTAAACTCAATTCCGGAAAACTCCTCCTTCATGGTGAAAAGTCGGAAATACCACTTATTTGGCTTATTTCTGATTTTGTACACCGTGCATCTTTCTTCCGGGATGAACAGTTGTTGATTGAACAACAGATGCTTCCTTCATATTGTGTCAAACGTATTTTCAAGAACTTGTGCAACATTTTCTGTTATGATTGGTTTCGGTTAACTAAAACCAGTGCACGCCTACATACGTCTACATGTGTTTAACTAAAAAAGTGTGAAAATTCGGCAATACATTCTCACGTCACAGGTAAACAAGTAAACTCTTTTATCTGATGAGTACAAGTAATACCCGATTTTCTACGCATTAGTTGCACACAGTTCGTAATGTAGATCGTATTTGTGTTATGCATAATGGACAAATTATTGAATGGGTACGCATGAAACATTAAATAATAAACAAGGATAATATTATCAACAATTTCAGCAACAAAATTTATCCAACGACTAAGGTTCATCAAAATGGAGTTTCTTGTAAGGGAACAAAATTCACGTCGTCAGTGCCATTAATAGCCACAAAACTTCCAATTAAATAAAGACTGCAAGAAACATACACTTAAAACAGAAGATTTACTTTAAAGTATTAAAATGCGGGGTCCACACTGGACTTCTGATCCAATCGACTACAGTCGAACGTAGGAACGTGAGAAATAATGTTTTTGTCCAGTAGCGCCACTAAAACTGCGGATAACTTGAAAACGGTGAGAAATTTTGTGACTTTTTAGTCGTTCAAACAGGGGAAAAGCGAGACAAGCGGGGATAGTTGAACAATCTTCGGTTCGTCTCTAGAATCGTAAACTCTTTCACAGTGCGCTAGGCTGGTACTTTTTGAATGCATTTTAATATACGAAATGGCTACTGCCATCTCCAGAGGTGTCAATAGCGAAATAGTGAAGCCCTTGCTGCCTTTTAAGCTTGCCAACTAGAGCTATTGACACCTTTCTCCATAATACTATGATACAGCAATATAGTAGTAAGGTACCCTAGACAAACATTTTTTGCTATTTCTGGTAAGAATCTTATCCGAGTCTTATCGGATTCTTACATAAGAAGTCCGCACGAAAATGGCAAGAATTTCGTACGAATCCGATAAGAATCAGGTAAGATTTAAATAAGAATGAGCTATGACTTTAATAAGACGCTCTTATCACTTTCTTATCACTTCCTTTTGAAATTCTTACTAAAAGCCAATCACCGTTTTATTTTGCTGATGCACATACTATATAAGTACGACTGATTTCTTGGAAACTTTTTCATCAGTTTCTTCGAGGTAGGTAAGACTGGTCGTTTGAGAATGCCTCGCGACCTCTTACACACTTACTAATGAACCAACTATACAGCTAAATAACGAAGGAAAAAAAACATTGGAAGTTTTTGTCAGTTCTTGCCCTTTTCTTGTCGAATTCTTACAGGATTCTTACCTGATTCTTACGAAATTCTTGTCACTTTCGTGCGGACTTCTTATGTAAGAATTTAATAAGAATCTAATAAGATTCTTATACGAGTGATAGCGGATTCTTATAAGTTCCTTATCAGATTCCTATCAGATTCTTTTGTAAGAATCGATCACTAGGGATAGAAGGTGGCTAGCTATAGTTACTTGTCTACAGTGGTAGCAAAAACTTCTCAGTGACACCTTTCAGTGGGGCAATAGCGCTACCCTTTAATATAACTGCCACTCTTTGTCTATTTTGATTGTATGATGCTATCCACAGCTTTAATCTAGTTTTAATGAGAGTAATAAAAACTCAACTACGCCATCAGCCAATCATTTTTTAGTCAGTGGCCGCAAACGAGACCAACAGTTTTGTCGAACTCAAACGCACATCAGCAAAAATCATTATCATCTCTATCGACCATATCGTCACTTGATTTACACCAACAAATACAACAATCACCGGCGATATCCTTATTGGCAAACAACAATGTAAGAACGACCATACAAAACTCATTATTATCAACCAAAAGGAAATCACCACAAATATTCAACTTATCGTCGAAAACAATAAATGAGAATCAAGTAAAACTTTTGTCTAAGCGGTTAACATTTACTCCTGCACCAAGTTTTAACGACAGTCAGATACGCTGGTCAGTATTGAATTTTTCTAGAAAAGTACATTTTCATTACCATCTATCACAACAATACTCATCAATATACAGTATAGATTTTGATACTTTTCAAACTGCGCATTTACATACATATATTTCGTAATTATACTTTTCTGGTCCTTAAACAAGATGAGAACACATCAACTCGAGTCATATATTAAAGTGACAGGTAAATTAGCGAAGTTCATAAAGCTTGTTCTGGTTGATTCAGCTATTCAATTCGAGCTGATTGACAACTAATGCACTATACTTACAAAATTGTTCTCAATATTTTCACCATCTGCTAAGACTCATTTTACACATTATTCTCTTCTTTTGTTAAGAGACCTGTGGCTAGTAACCAGAATTCGGTCCTTATCTTAAATCAACATGTTTAGCAAAATGAAAAAGAAAAAAAAGACTCTTTTATTGTTCTTTGATGCACACAATCATATAAACACTTTATTATAGATGTGGTAGGCTTCGTTGCACTGTTTGCATCAGAGATTCTTGTCCAGTCTTTTTGTATATAGCGACATTTAATATCTTGTCAAAATGCTTAATGCTGAGTATTACTTTGTACCAGCTAGAGGCAGCGACAGCTGTTCAAACTGCTCTCGAGCTTGGTGATGATCCAGTGCGGAATCGGGATTTTCGCTCTATTCAGATTTGACCTAGCCACTCAGCTTCATCGAAAAATTTCAAAAATACAGTGGCTCTATAATTTTTTCCAATACTGTAGAATACACGTATATATATATATGTATATACACATACATCTACTCAGCTGTTTCTATACATCACATCCAAAAAAAAGAACGCGGATACAAACACGACAGAATATAATAGGACATACTAATATTATCGCATTATGTGATAATTACGGTGACCGTTTAAGGGCCATTTTCATAACGTAGCTTTCGGGGTTGTCTTCACGCCGTAAACTAACGGTACATTAAAGGTGGCCGTAAACGGCATGTTTTACACCGTTTTTATGCCGTTAACAAGCCGCTTTTATGATGACCCTTAATGTGCCGTTTACACGACGTTAACGGACCGTTCTGTTTGCCCTGGGTTAATGTCAGTTGCAGCCAAAACATTACGGACCACACGAACGAAAAGGGCGACCATGGTTTTGTCACAAGCCTGCAACAGTCCAGTCGGTGTAAACCAACAAAAATAAACGACCTTGACTTCGCCGACGATATACCTCTCCTAGAGAGCACACTAGAGAGAGCTCAAGCGCACTAGCGAAGTAGGCCTCCAAGTTAACAATCAGAAGACGCAAGCGATGACCAACCAGACTAGGGGTGGCGCATTACCGTTTCTTTACAGGTAACGCAGTAAAGCATGCGTTATTGCGTTAGTGGTAACGAGTAACGCATGCGTTATTGCGTTACTGATAACGAGTAACGCATGCGTAGTTGCGTTACTGCGTTACTAGAAAAGTAACGCAAATAACGCTGCGTTACTCGTTACAAAAGCTATGAAAAATAAACGCATCTCGTTAGTA